GGGGACATCGATGGACACGATCCTCACGTCTTGTAGTTTCTGTAATTCGTGTTCAATATTCACTTTACAGGACTCGCATCGCATCTGAACCGCAAACTCGACCTAAAAGTGGATTCAATAAAATAATGAGACATTCATTAGTAGTCATACATATTGTGGACACTATTGGCGAGAGAGAGAGAGAGAGAGAGAGAGAGAGAGAGAGTACACGATAGGGTATATAGTTATTGTTTAAGGGATTTATAAGTTTTTAAATAATTAAATCAATTAAAAGTGTATAAAAAAGTTGTCATAAGTTTATGAAAGTTTTAATTATGACTAAAATCACTGTGTACACACTGTGTACAGTGTACGGGACAGGTAGCCGTAAAGGACTAGTAGTCTACGTTAGCATTAATTTACTCCTATTTAACACAATTGAAAAAACTTTTCAATTAGTTTTAAACACAATATACCGGTAATAGTCACACAAAAGTCTAAATACTGTACACTATTCACAGATTAATACACAACTGGGAGTACACTATACAAGGGACGGGTAGTCTGTGTACTGTATGTATTGGGTGATGACATGGCGTGTAATTTGAGACCTTTTAAATGTACGGATTTAACGGCAATTTTAATGTCTCTCGCGATGTGTATAAAAGTCTTCAAAACACTAAACACTGCATAAAAATCGGAGACAAAAAAGTAATTAACAATTAGCTTACAAATAATTAAAACTTGTTTTTTCGGCTAAACTATAGATTAAAATGCGATTAAAAAAAGTTTAAAAACTTTTAGTTTGAGGGGAAAATGAATTTCTAACGTAATTTATGCCGTAATATGTGTACAAAAGTGCAGTTAAAATGCAATGCATTTGTGAATGAATTGCGAAAATAATAGTCAAAACAAAAAATAATTAATTAATAGGTATTTAAGTGTTAATTAATACACGGATTAATACATACTTTTGTGGACATCATCTACACGTGTGTTAAACCAATGGTGAGTTTGATGTGAATATAATTGTGTATAAAATACTGAAAATAATCTCAAATTGTTAACCGAAAAGTGGTTTTTGTTTTCACTGTGTGTTTGGCATTGGGTTTGAAATTTATGGGTCTCTCGTGAATAACGTCTCGTTTTTATTGTGTGAAAAGTATTTCATAAATACTGTGAAAAACTTTTTTCTCGTTGAATAGTGTAGTGAAGTGTTAATTAAGTTATTATTAAAAAATTATAAATTAGTTCATAATTAGTTAAAAACTTTTTTATATACACTTTACAGTTACTGCAAAAAAGTTTACAATTATTTTTGGGTTAAAAAACTTTTTTTTATATAGTTTTCAATCTAAACGAATGCATTGAAAACCTATGAATGCATTGGTTTTACATCAAACTCTATGTAAAATCCATACAAAAAACTTTTAAACATGTGTTTAAATACTAATAAAAGTTATTCACAAAAGTTGTAAAACTATTATAAAAGTTATAAAATTAATTTAAACCCATTTTTCACTCTCATTATTCAGACCACTACCTCCCTGTGCGCTAACATGTCGGCGCCGGTCGCCATAATCGACAAACGATACGAGTTGGACACCAAAGACATCGTCCACTTCCTGTTGATCCGGTTTGACACGACTTTCCTGCTATGGGTGGGCCAATCACCGGACACGGCCCGGCTCGCCGACCTGTCCCTGGCTATAGGCGCCCACTCGACGCCCCTATTGGCCGCCCACAGCGCCCACCAACTCAGTCCCGGCTTAGCCTCCAAGCTGTCCGTCAAATACAATAAGTGTCGACCCGTTTACGTGGCGTTCAATCACCCGATGGCCGACCGCACGGACAGCCGGTTCATGATTGCCGTCAACCGACAGATCATTGAGTT